AAACCTGACGATATTGAATGCAGCGCCGGAATCTAAACCAGACGTGGGCTCGTCCAAAAACATGAGGAGCTCAGGCTTCGATGCCAGCTCCACTCCAATGGTGAGCCTCTTTCGCTGTTCCGCATTCAGGCCCTCGCCGACTTTGCCGATCGTTGCTCCGGCGATATCACGCATCTCGAGAAGATCAATGATGGTTTCGCAGTAATCAAATTTCTCCTTCTTGGAGACCTCTCGGGGCTGCCGCAACAGCGCCGAGAACTGGAGAGCTTCTCGAACCGTCGCGGAAGGTTCGTGCACATCCATCTGCTCTGCATAGCCAGTTGCTCTCTGGAAGGACTTGGGTAGTGGTCGAGCGTCGACCAAGAATTCACCAGTGACTTTGCCAAATGTGAGGCGCTGAGCCAGGGCGTTTAGCAAAGTCGTCTTGCCAGCACCTATGAGGCATTAGCAATTGCAAGTGAGCAATCTTTGGACTAGATCAATACTTACCGGAGGCACCCATAAGTGCAGTGAGTTTTCCAGGCCGGACGTATCCTTGGACATCATCCAGGAGCGTGCGCTCTCCCTTCTCGAAAGGTATGATGTACTTGACGTTGCGGAATGTGAAGACCGTCTCATTCCGAGCCACTTGTTCCATTGCCTCCTCGTCGCTCCTCTCCTTTTTCGCAGTGTCGGCTGTCATTGTTTGCGTACTGTTGTTGGCTTCGCCAGATTCTTCATCATCCTTCTTGCCACGGCCGCCAGCGGCTATGCTGTCCTCCACCTTCTTGGGGACTTGTCCACGCTTGAAGACGGTGATAGCGCCACCACCAGTGTTCGGCTTCATGTGCTCCATGCCCAAGGCTGTGAGGGCTACAAAAACGAAGAAGAAAGCCCATAGGAAACCGAAGTTTCTCCATAAGTGAGAACGAGAATATGTGAAGGATGCTTCGATGTAACTAGAGCCGGGCACGATTGTCTGGCCAGGCGGGCTTCCAGCAAGCGCACAGCCTTGATATGCCGGCGAGGCGTTCGGCCCTTGAGGAACGAGGTAAGGCGGTACACATTGGAGCTCTCGGTCGTAAAACTCATTAGACATGAGACACTCGAAGCCGTATTGGATCCAGTTTATCCACCGCAGCCATCCAAACCAGGGACGCATCGAAGTTGGAGGAATAAGGTAGCCTGTATAGACGATAACGATCTGGACAGATACTCCGGTGAATCTTGTAGCATCGTCCAAGGTCTTGCACCAAGCTGAAATGGCACGGAAGAAAGCGTAGGTGACCATGGTGACCAACCAGAGAATAAGCGTGGCGATGAAGAACTGTGACGCAGTTCTCGCAAGATTGGACATCCAATAGATGATGATGTTGAAAAGAATAACCTGAATGAATACAAGTGGCACATCCACCACGGTTTGGGCAATGGCGAAAGCTGCTGGGCGGTAGAAAGAGAAGGATTTATGCTTGAGCAGAATGGGCTTGGACTCAAACGCACTCGTCTGTTCCGCCAGTGCAAGCAACGCGTTGAAAAGAAGCAGGAAAAACAAGGTTCCTCCACGGGGGAATGCTCCAGCAGCGGTATTTGGGAGGTTATAGAACAGACTGCCCACGATGAGACCTTGGAACACCAGCCCGCCCCATTTGCCAAAAAGGGACGCTCGATCCCCAGCCATGACCATGAACTGGCGCTTGGTGCAGTAGATGACCTGCTTGTGGAAGGGTATCTCGTAGTTCTTGGTCTCGGTTTTCTTTGATTCGTTCTGGCGGCGGTCTTCAACCTGCTGGTGAAGCTGAGACTCAAACTCTTCCACATCCTGGATGTTCCTCCTGTAGGCCTCGCTATTCTTGTATGCCCAATCAAATTCCTCGGGGGTTCTTGGAATTCGGGACTCGTAGCCCTCTCGAATGTGGCGCTCGTGCTCGTCGGTTACCGAAGTTAGGAAGTCTGCAGTCGTCCATCGGTCTGGGCAGTTGAAGCCGAGGTCGATGAAGTACTGCTTTGCGGATTCGGAGGGTCCAAAATAAAGACACTTCCCCTTGTCGATGAGAAGTACCTTATCAACAAGGTCATAAAGAGACTCGCCGGCTTGGTAAAGCGACACGGCCGTTGATGTCTCTGCCATGTTTGTCATGGCGCGAATCGATCGGACGTACTCCACGGCTGTACTGGCATCGAGGCCTTTGCTTGAGTTGTCCCAACCTTGAACGGATGCACGAGTAATCATAGCCTCTGCAATGCTCACACGCTTTCTTTCACCGCCCGACACGCCTCTGACATACTCGTTTCCAACCTTCGTGCCTAGGGTATGCTCGATCCAGAAGAGCTTCGTGGCAACTCGCATGAACTCCTCGATATAATCCTTCCTACTCTCACCGTCAAGTCTTGATTCTTTGCCAGGGGTTCTCGTCTCCAGTGCAAAGTTGAGGGTTCTCTTGACAGTCAGGGTTGGGTAGTGGAGATCGTCTTCTGGGTTATAGATGATTTCTCCGCGGAAACTCTTGCTCATCTCCTCAGCGGGGGCGCCTCCATAAGTGACTTCGCCTTCAACGGCCTGGAACCCTGCCCTTTGATTGCAGAAGGCCTTGAGGAAAGTACTACATCCTGAGCCTGGACGTCCAAGAACAAGAAGAAGCTCTCCAGGGCGTACGCAACCATCAAAGTGACTGATCAGCTCCCGGACCGGAGGCTTTGCGAATGCAGCCTTGGGTCCTCGAGTGAAAAGCATTTTGATCTTGCGGGGAAATCCGAGAAAGATGTCTCCAATCGTGGGCTGTAAACTGGCCCCGAGACCAACGCCTTTGACCGTGAGATCGCGGAAAACAACTCCACTGTGCCGCGTTTTCTCCTCCTCGCTCTGTTCTTGTCGAGCTCGACCAAATATCCGAGACATGAGACGTTCAACCTCTTGCTGCTCCTCTTCCTGTTCAGCATCTGACTGGTGCGTGGCATTGGTTCGACGGCGAGATAGTACTCGAAAAAGGTCATCTTCGGTCAAATTGCTTCCTTGCCTGCGCGCCTCTGGTCGTTTGTTATTGCTGACATGGGTCTTGAGGGGCGCAAAGTGAGTATTGTCCGTCGGCGATAGAGCATTTGCGGAGGGAGAGGATGCCGCCGATTCATCGTCGATGGGGGCATTCTTTTCAGACAAATCTTCTGCTCGCGAAGCTCTGCGGCTACTCGAGACCGCAACACCGTTGCCAGAAAGCGTGACAGTAGAAGAAGACGTGTCGTCGCGGATACGTGATGTCGTGGCAAAGTAACTCGTGGTGTTCCGGGTAATCTGGCTTGATTGTGTGCTTGTGGCATTGTGAGCGTAGTGCTGGCCGTGACTAGACAATGTCATCGGCGTAGGCCGCCCGCTGGTCGGAGCAAGACTAGGCGTCTCTGGGAAGCCGCCTGGGACGTCGGTGTCCCGAGGCGTGGGTTTCTCATCCATGATGGCTATCAATGTTTTCCCAAAAGCAGATTGGAGTTGATACACCACTATGGTGTCCTGCAACGTGATGGCGATCAAGCAACTGGAGTGCACATCACGGATGCAGAAGGCCTAGCGGAGAGGACGTTGTTGACGGGAACCCGTGAGTAAATAATATTGTCTCAGTGAGCCGATGGATTGTTGCTTTTCGTTAAAACCACATGCCAACAAAACGCCAGTCAACACTAGGCCGGTTCCAGAATATCGACTGCATCTTCAGGGGGTAGACGCGAGCAATAAAATTCGATTCCAACTGTAGTGAACTAACGGCGTCGGTCATCTGTTTCCGCCGACCGTTGGTCTAGTTGAGATCTATGACGACGTATAACCAAGTACTCGCAGACCACGTCGGTCGCGTCAGCGCGACACTGGTGTTAGATATCGGCCAAGTGGATACCACTAGATCTTTTCTTCTTCAAGCAGGGAGCCTCATCTGGTAAGCTTAAGCTATGCTTTCGTCATAGATCCACGAAGCCGCGCGATGGCGCTGATACGCTATGGAAAAAGATGCATCCCAATCGGCGATTAGGCTATTCCTTGACCGAGAAGTCAATCCCACCGGCCAGAATTCCCTTACTACGGACATTTTCGACCCCCGAATTGTGCGAGAGGACACCAGATTGCCATGTCTTGCGCTCATGTTCATTGCTGCTGGAATCATTGAGACAAGTCAATCTTGGCATCTGGACTAAAATTGGCTAGATTGTTCGGGCCCATGAGTAAAAATGCCGGGCGAGTTTGGCCGTGTTTCTTTGTGATCTGATTGGTCCACGGTTGAGTCCGCTGCTCAGTGTCCTCGAAATGGGACTTGACCTTCGTCTTCGCGTTCAGTCTTCTGCCAAGTGAACTCAGGCAATCGCACTTTGGCTAAAATTGTCATTCAAATAATCAGTTACGTATCTACTTTTTAGAACGCAGAATCAGTCTGAGATCCATGTTGACAAGCTTTGGGTCATTTATACAAAGCCTCTTCTTGACTGAGTATGATTTGATAATTTCGCATCAATCTTCCGTCAGTCGTTCACTTCCAGGGATGCCCCGCATTCGCGATAGAGGAAGGCAATTAAAAGGCGGTTAGGCTCATTGGCTGCTTGGCATCTAGATCTTCAAGCTCTTCAGTCCCGTACATCAAACATGTTGTCAACTAAGTGCTTGACCATATATCTCGAAACCAGTGATGACCATGCCCATGTCTTCTCCTCCAGTCTGCACCTTTCAGCTCGCTATTCATGATTTACGCCTCCAAAGGAATCATGTTTGCATGGAATCAGGTCGATGACTCTGGCGATATACACACCGAGCATGCTAGAGCCGTGAAGCTTGACGTATTGTTTCGAGAGATCCAGACGCAACATACCAGGTAAGGTGCAAATCACAGAATTGCACGGGTCTAGGAAAAGAGCGTGATATCGGTATCATGATATGGGAATATCATGATTAAAAAACAGAATGTTTCTATTGGCGAAAACGACATGGATATTGCTCTGAATTCTAATGCTTTTCTACCCAGAAAATGCAAATCAAAGTAACGATTCTAGTACTACTTCGAGTTTGAAGCCAAATGCGTCAAAGCCCATTCGCGCTGTGCGTCAATGTACTCCTGGCTAAATGTGTAATCGTTGTACCCAATCTCCGATCCCCTGATGTAGAACGAGAATCGATGGTACTTTGTGAGTGGAACGCCGTGCTTGAAACGCCAGACAAGGTCGGGGTTTGCAATAAAGCTTCTTCCAAATGCAACGATGACATCCCACTTTGCGTAGTGCCCATCAAGTGCCTGGGCAGCGCTTTCGGGACCATAACCACCAGCCACAACAACGGGGGACAAGTTATCCCAGATATCGAGGATAAAGTCGAGTGTCTGTTGAGCAATCTTGGGATCGTGCGTAGTGTTCAAAAGCTTGGCCGGGTCGCCTCGAGCCTCAACAAGCGACAGATAGGCGAAGGGAACGTTCATCTTCTTCAGTTCCTTGACAATATATGTGTACTGTCCGTGGATATCAGACGACTCTGCCCCTTGGAACGATGCATACGGAGAGAGTCGAAGTGCCACCTTTTCAGCGCCGATGACCTCAACAACTGCCTTAATGACTTCAAGAAGAAGCCGAGCCCGGTTTTCAATAGAGCCTCCCCATTTGTCTGTACGCTTGTTGACGGAGTCCGAGAGGAACTGGTCCAGTAGGTAACCGTGGGCTCCATGAATTTCAACACCATCGCCGCCTGCAGCAACAACTCTCTTGGCGGTGTCCGCAAAGTCTTGGATAACTTGCAAAATCTCTTCTTCAGTCATTTCCTCAGGAACAGCTGCGCCAGGCTCCATGGGCACAGCACTTGAGGAACGAAACTTGTAGCCGCGCTGCTTCTGGTAGTCGGGGTCTGCAGCTCGCCCTTGAGCCCAGATTTGCTGAAACCAGACACCTTTCTTTTCGTGAACTGCAGCAATGACCTTTTCCCAAGCAGCAACTTGCTCGTCTGTGACAAAGGCTGGGCCGTGCGGTACTCCAGTCTCTGGCATTGAAGTGCCAGTGGCCTCTGAGATAATCAAAGTACCCGGAGTTGAGGCTCTGTCACTGTAGTATCGAGGAACAAAAGGTTTTGCCACGTGGTTTGCATCGTTTCGGTATCGGGTCAACGGTGCTAGAGCAATCCGATGCTCAAGTTGTGTATTGCCAAGCTTCAAAGGCTTGAAGAGTTTGCTTTCCGTAATGTTAGGCGATGCCATGTTGAGTTGATGATTTATGCTGCCGTATGGTTGATGGTGCTGGTATGTCGACTTGAGGCGGGATATGTCAACGGATAGCGAGGAAAATCTTTGCAAGTCGCTGTTTTAAAAAATAAAAAACGGTTGCAATATGTCTCTATTTCACCAAGTCAATCTGAGGTTTCTTTCATCGTTAAATACCATTTGCTATTCTAGTTGTTTCCTTGTTTTTGAGAAGGCCCACACATGAATCGGCGAGTCAGCCGGAGGCAACTCCGCAACTCCGGCTTGGCGCCTTACAAAGCGTGCAGGAGCTCCGTGATTCCGGGACAACCCGATCTCCCGTACCGCTGATAATGACACATTTAAGTGGTTCTTCCTAATTTGTCATCCCGCTCTTAGTCATCGGAGATAGACCTTTTCATCGGAGACCAAGAATGGCGTCATTTCCGCATTTATGGGTAGCAACGTGGCTTTCGTGTACCAAAAGCAGGACGAGTTGGCTTATTCTAAGCTTTCACTCTTCGAATCTCTTCCCAGCAGTCCACCGCCTTCTGAGCTTGATATTTTGCAGCCATGACTAAAGAATGTTAGGTTAAACGAACCTAGCAATCAATCTGTAACCACCTCGAAAAAAAGACTTGCTCCGGCTGTTGAGGCTGCGCTGCACAGGCTCTGAATAATCATATGAGTTTGTCGGTCACTTCTCTTTTTGCATGATATTTGGACTTCACGTCCTTTCCCGCGTCCGTCGTGAAAGGTTTGACAACATCAATAAGCTACACAGAAGCCTCAGATAGAAGGTGCTTGGAAAACGATTCCATCACCGGAGAATTTATGATCCTGTCAATCTATTAAATCCATTGAATCATACCAGTAAGCATATGTTCTCTCTACACCAGGAAGTCTCATATCATCTTAAAATACCATGCTTAAAGCGCTGTCGAAAGCCTCAACGGCAGCTTGAGCAGTGGATGTAGCACTGGCTGGGTTCTGGCCTGTCACTAGGCGACCATCAACTACATGAAAGTCGTCCCAGATACCAGGGGCACGCACATCTGTTTTCAATGTTAGATCCGAAGAACTCACCCACCAAGCAATGGCTGGGCCATGGATGGAGGAAAGAGTGAAAAGCTCACATGTCGCCCCGAGTCGAATTGCCGTTTCCTCCACCATCTCAGCACCCCAGCTTCTGAGTTCATCCATGATCCCCATGGAGGATTCGGCTTCCGTAGTAAACCCGGTGATTCTCTTGTTCTTGATCAAGGGCTCATTGGTGCTATGGTCGATCAGATTGGCGAAAAGTGCTGGTCCGTGGCAGACAGAAGAGACCACCCCTCCATTCGCCCAGACTTGCGCTGCGATTCGCTGAAGAGAAGAGGCCGTGGGATAATCGATGAGGGCGGCATGACCGGCAGACGCGTAGAAAAGCCCGTATGCGTTACCATCGAGGTCAGCGGCTTTTGTCATGTTGTCGAGCTTCATGCGGAATTCGCTCTTGGCGTTATTCCAAATGTCCAAGTCTTCGCCGTTGAGGAAATCTGGCTGTGTCGAAAGCCAGTCAGGGGTATATGTACCAGTCTCGGAAGCGAGATCAACCTCAAAACCAGCTGCCGTTAAGACGCTGTAAGGATGCAGCGCTTCGCTAATGAAGAGACCGGTGGTCTCCTTCCCCTTGAATAAGGTGCCATGAGCAGAAGTTATGCTGATCAGAGCTCGGCGCGGCAAAGACATAGTGGCTTTTGGAACAAAGTGCCTTGCTAGACGAAGAGTGACAATAGGGTAGCTTGATTATTGAGATCTGACTCTAAGTATTGAGTTGCGAAAGAAGTCTGATTTGGGATAATTCAAAAAGTAGAGTTGGTGAATCGACGGACGTATTTATACCAAGTTCGTGCTATTGTCTTTCAAGGATTCACTTAGTCGTTCGCAAAAGGAGTTGTTTCGATTGGATCGTTGGTTCGCAGTGTAGGAGCAACTCCTAGTGGTTAGGAGAGGACCAGAGTAAGCAGAGGCAGGACATGCTCCGATTGGTGGAATGCACCATGAATGCTTACGATTACTGTTGGGCAATTCTTTGATTAACTGGTCACGCGATCAGCTCGAAAACAAACGACACCTCTCACTATTGCTTGCTCGAAGCAATTGCATTCACGATCACGTTGCTGGTTATTTAGACGTGTGTCAAAGTATTGGAATTTACCCAATATTATTATCTCTGTCAAAAGACAGAGGACTCGCCAAATGTACTGATATCGCCGACACCCAGCATGTCGATATTGGCCCAGAAATCTACGCCAACCGCCATTTCCGTGAAATCGAAGTCCGGAAATTGAGTCAAAAGCTCAGGGGAGGTTGATGTATAGACCAATTCAGAAGCAAAGCCATTGGCTACCTCCACTTCCTGGCCGATACCCAGCATAGATAATGCAGCTGGCTCCTTCTGACCATGGTCCTGGGAAGAAGTCGACATTAAGCCATCGATCTTCGTACACAGCATTCGGACAACAGTTTCAGCATTCTTTGCCAGCTCGAAACTCTGGCCAAATGTACCAAAAACTGACAAGGCTAAATCCATGGCACTTCTTGCGGCTACGACTGCAGAATGACGCGGATTGGCCAAGATAAATCCTGCTAATGTGATGGCAGAATTCCATTGCCACTGGAACGCTTCATGCCATCCATCGAGTATAGCCGTGGACGAAAGCGCTTGTTGGGTAATCCTCGATAGCTCTATCGCATGGTTGATACTTTCTACTGCGAGCGTCTCAAGACGACTTCCGGGCGCCGGAACTCTTTTGAATGAAATGAAGGGTCGGTAAAGGTTGACAGACATGTGGTGATATTCCATTTCCAGGAGAAGGCGTTGTCTTTGGAGCCAGAGTGGGGCATACTGTTCAATAACGAGAGCCGAGCCGTCGGTTGAAAGAATGCGGCCATTGTTTACTCGGCTGTTTTTGAGCGCACCAGGCAAGTTTTGCACCCATCTCTCTATCATGATGGTGTGAGCTTCTAGACTTTCGGCTACCTTGGCCAAGGATGTGGTATCATCCCATATAGTCTTGTGTTGTCCAAGCCCAACGTCGTGACTGTATAATGTAGTATGAGCATCTCTCATTGTTTTGAATAATTTGAGGTGATGAAGACTAAAGCTCAGCCAGGTAGCATCCCCTGAAATTGGAGCGAATGTAGATCCTGATAACATGGAAGCGCCAAGCTGATCATCTGGGAAAGGCGGCATAGAAAATGAACCATGTAGTAAGAAGGGGCGTCCCAGCTTCATCCCGACTTTGCTGTCCAAGACATAGACAGCCCACCAAAGTCGACGTCTTACTTGACGTTCTTTCTCAGGTGTATCAAGAGGAGGATCAATATGCAGACCCAGCATATAGGCTATGCGTACAGCTTGACCACAAATGCTATCTGCCATATTATGGAACGACGCACCACAGACATAGACAGCTGAAAGGAGATGGCACTGTAGCGTGGAGATAGAAGGGCTTTCCATTTCCCCTGCTAGCAAAGTCTGTGCTCTTCGGTAGTGCCACCGGCCGGCAGTTGTAGCATCGTTTCCTTCGACGATGTTTCCTTGATGGCTAGACGGCAGACTTGAGGCCATGTACTGCATGCACATGGCAACAACAATGTCGACCAGCGCTGAAGGCTTGCGAGTATAGCCAGAGGGCACATCCAAATAGAGGGCTTGATACTCTTTTTTGAACTCGGCCTCGTCAATAATGGCGTACAAAGAGGTGTGGTATGATTGCCAAAATAGATTGACGAAGTACTCTTCTTGAATTGGATTCAGGTAGACCCCGGGTTTATTGCCGTTAAAAAGTGGCCTCAGCAACTGAGATGCGTCTTCTGACGTAGTCCTTTCCTGGGCGGGCATGGCGCTACCGCTCGTTGATCGGAGAAGCATGTGGTCTGGCTGAGCATGTTCTACATCGGTACTGAGGAACACGCCAAGGCGATGGATGAAAAAGTAAAGAGACGAAGGTCCAAACCATGCGACATGAGGTGATCGTGCGGGTCGGAGCAGAGCACCATCCCAAGGCTTATTTCTTGGCGTGACAAAGTGGCCTTCGATGTTACTGGCTGCCGTTGCTTCCACGTTGGCGACTACTTGTTGCGAATGTACAGAAAATGAAGTTCCAGGATTGGTATGCGCCCCTCGGTGTCGCTGAAGCTCTCGTTCGAGGTCCAAAACTTTCAGCCTTAGTCGGTCTATCTCTTCATTGGCCTGAGAGAGAGTCGAAGTTCGGGTTGCTTCCGTATTGCTGCACTGCTGGCCCCGACCCCTGCAGTTGGCACAAGGAGACGCATCGTCGCATTTGATGCGACGCAAACGACAGGCATCGCACGCTCTGCCGACCTGCCTTCTTTTTGGCCGGATCCCACTCCGTGACCGGTTCTCCGCAGGTTGTGCGAGAGGGGCAGAATTAGCCATGAGTCAGGAGGCTCTACACAGGCAAGGGTGACCGAAGGTTGCGCTCAGGCGCCGATGAAGTGCATGGGTAGAGTGACCTCTTGAGTAAATGAGGTCTCAACCCTCCTACACGCAGTCACCCGAGGTAGGGCACCGTGGTTTGAGAGAGCGGATTGGATATGAAGTTGTCTACGATTCGAAATGGGCTGTGCTGAGGCCAGGCGGAGGTTGGAATAGTAAGCACGCGACAGGCAACAGCGACGGCACGTGCTGGACGACCCACATGAGACACCAGCTGGATCGCATGCATTGTAGACTGCCCATACGAAGAGCCTTCGAGCGTACGGAGTCCCTACATGGTCTGTTGACCAACACCCATAGCAATGACAAGATGATCTGATGGCAGTTCATACAATACAATGCTTGATATGGTCTGTTCACCATAGCAAATTTGACCTCTGGCTGCCCGTACGAGTCGTTGGGAGTGATGGTTGAGCTGATGGCCCTTGCGCTCATCGCGAGGTCTTGGTCCCAAGAGCCCCCCCAAACCGTAAGATACCATACTCTGTAACGGATCAGACATGTTGAAATCCCACCCCATCAGTTAACACCTGGTCGATTTCCAGTTTGTAGATTCACACCATTCAACCAGAAGCAATTGAAAAGGTAAGTTCTATCAAGTCTAAGCCGGGCGCAACTATGCTTGGCAGGATGTAGAGTAAAGTATGAAGCCCGGGTCGCATACATGCCCAAGATAAAGCTGTGTGACTAGCTCTATCTTATCTCAACGAGTGAGATGGTTCTTAAACTTCGGTACAGGAATTTTGTACCAAATCACTCACTTTGAGCAATTGGAGCACAGTTTGTACCCAGAAAGTGTTTGAGGAAAATAATAAGTGCCCTCTTGACGATATCGGAGGCCGAGGAATCCAGCGACATCCGCAATAAGGTTTGGCAATAACTCCCTGTAATTAGATCACGAATCTCCACAACACGACCTTCCTATTCTGCGCCTGGATGCGAGGATGGACCCTCCGCCCTCCGGCCCCTCTCTGTATCCCGACCATACGAGGATATTGTTACTCAATGCCGATTGGAGGGGTTAATCGACCCTTAAGATATCTACGCTGTAGTAACACCAGCAGGCTTAATCAAGCTTTCCAGCCTCAAATAGCAGAGATTGCCGACAGATCGGGAACAGACAACACCTACCCAATGCTACCTAGGCAGCTGGCTATCTGCATCTCGAAATTGGGACACAGGAACTTCTGAAAGTGCTCTTGGTGGTGATCAGTTCGTATCGCAATCCTTATCGTGAAGCACGTCTTCAAAACTCATCATGGTTTATTCTCACGAGACACTATCCTGTCTGGTGATAAACGTCCTCAGTACTTAAAATGTGTCGTGATGCACTCTTCAGACTGAAATCCCTTGCAGATTATAGCCATCGTGGCGTCCATTACACTCCTTTCATTTACACTCATTTCAACGCTTCGTCATGAAGGTCCTTTCTTTTACTATTGTGGCTGCCACGGCTCTGATCACGCCTGGTCTGGCGGCGTTTCACCCCGGAGCCGCTATCAAGGCAAAGCCACCAGTCAACGCTGGTTTCATCATCGAACTTGAGCCGAATGCGTCAATCAATGGCCGCGAGGTCGGCGAAGATGCGCACTCTGCTTTCCATCGCCGAGCCGAAGACGTCCTGGATTACTCTGTTCGTCACGAATTCAAAAATCCGGACTACTTCTATGGCTTGTCAATCAATGCAAAGGATGATACCGATGTCGACACTCTGCTTGCTCTACCCCAGGTCAAGAAGGTCTGGCCCAACAAATATTACGACCGCCCCGTACCGGTTGGTTCTAGCCGGGGATCAAAGACTGTCAACCCCTCTGTTCCCATCGGAGTGCAGTCCGTCCAGCTCAGAGCCGCTGCACAGGTTGTCACCATCAATGGCACCAGTGACGTCCTTTCCAGTCTCAAGATGACCGGCGCTGACAAAGTCCATGCCCAAGGTCTGACTGGAAAAGGCATCAAGATTGGTTTCCTCGATACTGGTGTTGATTGGCGTCACCCAGCCCTGGGCGGTGGCTACGGCGAAGGCTTCAAGGTAGCGGGAGGCTATGATTTTGTGGGTGATGACTTTGTTGGCTGGAATGATCCAGTCCCGGACGATGACCCATTGACTACCTGCTTGGAGGGCGGTCACGGTACCCATGTTGCTGGTATGTAATATTGAGGAGAAGCCAAAACCTCGCCCTAGCTTGTGTTAACTCGTCATTGCAGGAATCCTCGCTGCCAAGGACCCTCAGGGCGTTGGATTTGGCATCTCTGGTGTTGCACCTGACGCATCTCTTTATGCCTACCGCGTTCTCGGCTGCAGTGGAGGTGTCACTGATGATATCCTCATGCAAGGCTTTGAGAGAGCTGCTAGCGACGGAGTTGACCTCATCAGCATGTCGATTGGTGAGACAACTATTTGGGAGGGTGGCTCACCGTACATTCCGATTTTGTCCAAGATCCAGTCCCAGGGCATCGGAATCGTCATTGCGGCCGGCAACGAGGGCGACACTGGCCTTTACGTTTCCTCGGCACCAGCACAAGACCCCAGTGCAATCTCAGTCGGCTCCGTAAGCGACTTCCACTTTGCTACGGTGTACAACGCTGCTGGTTCGGATGGTTCCACCATTGAGTACGGTCGTGTTGTTCCCCTCAACGCTTCAGCACACTTCAATGTCTTTGTTGCGGACGACGATAATGGAGAGTGCGTGGACCAAGCATGGGATGATGCGATTGCCAGCTTCCCTGAAAAGGGCAGTGTGGTCGCATTGGTCACCGCGAGAAGCGACTGTTACTACGATATCCTGGATGCACGGAGCAACTCATCTGGCTTCACGAATGTCTGGGCATGGTTTCCTGATACCAGTGACATGTCCATCGACGAGCCAGGTGCGAATGGCGCCATTGATACGGTCAAGGTCAAGAAGTCTGAGGCAAGCAAAATTCTCGCCGGTATTGCTAAAGAGGGCAAGAACTTCACTTTGACTTTCGAAGACCAAACCGTTCATCAGATTGATCAGCCAACTGGAGGCACTACCTCATGGTTCTCAACCTTTGGGCCCACAATGGAAATGTCGCTCAAGCCTCAGGTGTCTGCACCTGGAGGAACCATTCTTAGCACATGGGTTACATCTAACGGGTGGGGATATGCGGTCATCTCGGGCACATCGATGGCAACCCCTCAGTAAGTCGTGTTTCCAAAGCGAAGGTGGCTTTGAGCTAACTTTTCAAAGCCTTGCGGGTTGCTACGCTCTTGTGAAGCAGAAATATCCTAATCTGAGCCCGAAGGAGATCGCGAGACGTTTGCAATCGTCCGCAACTCCTCTAAGGCAATACAACGCGACCGACATTCTCACCACTACCGCTCAACAAGGCTCGGGATTAGTCAACGTCCTGAGAGCAGTCACATCGGAAACCGTTTTCTCTGCAACCGAGTTCAACCTTCGCGACTCAGCCAGACCCCTTGATCGGAATTTCACCATCGAGAACTTGTCATCTTCCCCCAAGACCTACACGCTGGGTCACAAGCCTGCAGCGGAAGTCAATGGACTACCAAATGGCAACAGTCTTGACATCAACGACATGTTCTACTGGGCGCTCAACTTCAATCCTATCTACTCGGAAGTGACATTCACAACGAGCTCCCTTACGGTTCCAGCTGGCGGCAAGGCGACTGTAGAATTTACGATCACCCCTCCTACTGTCGACGTTTCCCTCCTGCCGACTTACAGTGGTCTCATCACAGTCACCGAAGGAGAGGAGAACTTTTCCATTCCTTATCTTGGAATCCCGTATGCACGCGGCGAACTCTCAAATATCTACACAGGAGACTTGAAGAATCTTGATGTCTCCCCAGTGCCCCCTTCTGGCGTTCCTTTGCTGCCGTTTATCAGTTCTTCTGACGCGGGAATTCGCAATAACGACAAGACGATTTTCACATTCCCCGCCAAGAAGGTTGCCGAGAACCAAACACAGACTCCTGACAACGACCCAGTTCTCACAATTTTCATTGACCAACCATCGGCGTATGTCCGCTTTGACGCAGTACCTGCAGACATAGCGTCTAACCCCGCTTACAACTTCACGCCGTCAACATATGGCTATCTCCCGGGACCCCAAACGAACGCTACCGTATTTGTCAACACGACTGTCACTACTCCTCCCCTGGACCTGGAAACCCTTGACCACGTGGCGGGGTTGAAGAGTTATGGCCTCATTGGCTTATTGTGGGGTGGCGATGTGCCCCATGGAACAGTTGCTACCAACTTCCGAGGCTACAGCGTTTATAGCACTGAATGGTCTTGGGGTGTTGTTGAACTAGCCAACGGAACTATTTACCAATTGCCGAATGCTGATTATCGTATCTTGGTTCGGGCATTAAAGTGGGGAGGTAATATGAACAGCTCGACTGACTATGACAGCTGGCTGAGCCCGATCATTGGGGTTAACATCACAGACCCGGGATATCCCAACCCCTGGCTCACTCAGTGAGAAAGTCGAATCGCCGTAGCTTTGGCTCGTAAATTTGTATATCTTCAAGACACGCGTAACGTGTAACAAGGTAGTGACAAGTGCCACACTGTACTTTAATTCTTCTCTTATGTACTCACCTTCGATATAGCATAGGGGAATTTTATCTGAAGAGTAGCCTGTTGCTAGTAATTGCCTTCAGGACAAATGGTTATCTGCAGTGATACGCATAGTGTTCTTCCGACCGTCCTTCCTTAAATGTGAGTACTATTAAAACATAAGTTCCGAATTCACTGAAAGTCAGTGTCGAAAGTGGCGCCTCGGGCCAGGTTGGCTTCTCCAACGAGGGTTACTGGGGCATACCGGTTGATGGTAGCCCCCACTCGCATAACATCTTTATCCGTGGTAACTACCAGAGTCAAATGACCTGGGTCTTACAAAGCGTTTCCACACAAGAGATCTTTGGAAACGCCACCTTCACGTCGATACTACCACCGAAAGATTCACCGAGTTTCATCAACGGCCACTCACAACCTTCTCATCGTTGACGGATATCGGATACAGAATGACCTGTGATGCAGAGCTTGTAGCCGGATCTTCAGTATGGTTCGCGTTTCCGCAGCTCTACCCTACCACCTTCCACAACCGGTATGTGGTTAGAACAGTTTTCCATCTTGGATCGGCATCTAACATTTGACCTTCAGTTATAATGGATTGAAGCCATCTCTAGCTAAGGCGGTGGATAACATAGGGGAAACATTTCTCAGATTCCCCGGCGGCAATAACCTGTACGTTTTGAGTCGGCGATGTTCTCAGGCAGACAACGATTTCTAACAACCCTAAGAGAAGGACCAAATGTCGAGAATCGATGGAAGTGGAATGAGACGATTGGTGCTCTGGCTTCTCGCCCCGCTCACCAAGGTATGTCATCAAGAGAAACACACAAGTCGATAACATCAACTAACACGTTACAGGAGCTTGGGGATATCCAAACACAGATGCTCTGGGTAGGGCCATAATCTCTCCGTCTCACAATAAGTCCCTTTATCACTAAACTTCCCCAGGTCTTCATGAGTACTTTGAGTGGTGTGATGACATGCAACTCGAGCCATTTCTGGACGTCTATTCAGGGTACTCTCTTGACGGCACTCATATCACTGGCGAGGATCTGCGGCCCTTTGTTGACGAAGTTATGCGCGAACTCGAAGTAAGTCCTAAAGTCCACAACATACGTAATTTTTCTCAATCTAATATGTTTCTCTTGAAAAGTATGTTCTTGGCGATTCATCGACTCCAATGGGAGCTCTGCGAGCCAAAACCGGGAATGAGCAGCCTTGGCCTGTCAAATGGGTTGAAACGGAAACGAAGACGACTTTGGTCGTAGCAGCTACCCCGAAAGATTTGCTGTCTTCTATAACGCTATTCGTCCGGCGTATCCAGAGCTCCAACTCATTGCTTCAGCGACTGGGTTCAACTGCTTACCTGATCCATTTCAGCAGATGCGTGGATCGACTACCACGAATATAATGTCGTCCCTGAAAACTACATTGTCAACTTCGTCCAGTGGGACAATGTCTCCCGCAGGAATAAATACATCATCGGAGAAATGGGTCGCTGGAACGTCCAGTGGTCGGACATGAAGGGCTCAGTTTCCGAGGCCATCTTCATGCTTGGACTGGAACGCAATAGTGACCTCATCCGAGATGTGGCGTTCGCACCCTTGATCAGTCTTGTCGATCATCAGCAATGGGCTGTAAGTTTTCCACGATCTAGTACTTGTATGACGCAGTATTTCATTGACTTTCTTAATCTTATACAGCCCAATCTGATTCCGTTCAAACAAGCCCCTGACGCTAGAGTTTACACCTCCAGCTACTGGGTACAGCAGCTCTTCGCGCAAAACGCCGGATCCATGACACATGAGATAATCTCTGATATTGGATTTGATCCGGTCTTTTGGAGTGCTGTAAGCGCTGGGAACAGCTTTGTTGTGAAGCTTGCCAATTATGCTGGTGAGCCACAGCATCTAGATATCGAGATTGCAGGAAAAAGGTCTGTGACGCTGTCAATTCTGGGCCACGACAACCCCGATAGTGCCAACACCCACGATGCAGCTCCAATCTCGCTCCCAGTTGTGTTTCACATTGAGTCGTCCGATGGCAACTTCAGCTTCCTCTTGCCTGTATGGTCCGTTGCGGTTCTTAGGACTGACTGATTCGATATTATGTCCAAGGCCTTGTAGTTGAAGTCTTAGCCAAGTGTGCAACGATTCGCTATTAATATTCTACACACCTCTTTTTATGACTTTATTAGGATAGTTCGATGCTACCTATAGTTAGGTACCTTAGGTCAGAACTATTTCGCAACTACATGATGGTCTCAGGACTGATGGCCTTAGTGACGGTGAAATGACGAATGTCTACTGCAAGCTGAACCCTGAAAGTATGGCACGTAACCCAGTTCCACCGTATTTTCGACCGATACCTCACCCATGGGCCCCGGAGAGTATTACCCACCATACCGAAAATGTCAATGTCGTACTGAAGGTTTGTTTTGAGATGGGTGCATAAGTAAAATTTACCATACCTGAATCTAATGCTTTGAACTGCAGAAGCTTGAAAGTCCTTGGATTATACCTGTGCCTCCTTTCCGGATAGAACTCTGAGCCTCCCGGGCTCAATCAATATAGAGGTATGCCTCATGGTGACAAGATCTTTACTAGCTTGCTCGCATAACACTTCATTGAACCTCGAAAGGCACAATAGTTGAGCTGTCAGCTGAGATGGTGCTGATTGTGCCATCCTATGCGGAAGAGTTGGGCGTGTCGTACCAAAAAAGGTCCTCTACCTATATGCCTCTGGCACCTAGAAGGCTTATTGTTAGTAGCTCTACAGGTAGCAGAAAGACGCTCGCTCTGATGTTTGAGGCTTTCAGATAGACAAACTAGCTTTTGGACATACTTGGAAAAGAAGCACCAACAGATCCGCTTTTTCCCTGTGTGGGATTCATGGAACATGCTATAGCATTCGTATATATACCCAGTCATGATCCTTTTGGTGTGTAAAATTTCATTAATCAAGATAGCTGTATCACAAAATACACGCACATTCATCCAATAGTGGGCCAGGTGCAAGTGTCCTCCTAACAGACTGCTGTGAATCAGTGGGGCTGTCAAAACGAACGAGACAGACCGAAAGGCGGGGCGACGACTTATTTTCAGATCGATGGCCGCTTTTGTGGGTCGTTTTCCCTCCCAGAGCTCAAGGACTTCTCAAATACGGTGTTGGATGCTATATTAATCGCCGGGCCTCAGACTCTCGACTGTGAAGTAGTATGAGGCCGGTCATAGGGAGAAGCAAGCGCGTTGCGCCCACCTCACTTCCTGCTCACTTGCTGCCCACCTCAATATATGGTTTCGAACCTTTTGCTATTGCCTGTCACAAGATGCTAGAAAGTATGATCCTTAATAGTGTGCACTAGGGAATTAGCGAAATTGGCCGAGAGCCTAAGAGCGAGGGAAATTCAAAACCGTAGTGCACGGTGCTAATTGGTATGGAGTATTCGCAACTCCAACCAACAAAATGGCTACGCCATCGAGTCAATCATCCCTGCTCCCGAACGCGGTCTCTCAATCTACTTAACTTCATCTACATAAATACACGAGTCGTAGTTTAGGGCGAACGGTATCCGTCGGATCCTTCGGAGGGATTATCGGGGTCAGGCAATTGCACCACAACTGCAATACATCTATAGACACTGTCCATACCCAAATTCTACATCCCTCGTCGTTCTATCCTTCACTATCACATTCATTACAGGCTCAGTTAACACATATTAGTGTTCTTTATACGTTGACTATGAGCTCTGCTCTTTCAAACTCACGTCTTCGCCTTCTCTGGGGCTTGCTGCTCACCTGCAGACTATATCTCGGTGCAGCAGCAGTCATCAACACCAATGACGAGGGACTGGCACAACGCGACAGCACAAACACCTATGACAATGCCTACTATGTTGTGCAAGGATCGTGGAAGTGTGATTTTACACAACTTCGACTTCTAGATGCAGCCATCAACGAGGCAGAAGAGCTCGCCCAGAAAACCATAGAAGTGCTTCAAGTCGAAGGCGCTGAAACATCCATTTCATTTGATACCTGGTTTGGATCAAGTATGTAGACCTGTTTCTGGTAGCGAATCATTTCTAGAGACAACGTGGACTAATTATAATTTCGTGTAGGCAATGCCAATGCCGCAACGAAGGATGCAATCATCAACCAGCACTACAAAACAGTATTGTCGCATCTTCCTTATCCAAACATTCCTGCGGCATTTCGATGGACCACCCACGCCGAATTCAAAGCGCCCATCAACGAGGCGCCACCGACAGACGACTCGATCGTGTACGGTTGCCCGCCAGTCGACGATAGAATGTGCCAGGATGGAGTGCTAGCATCCAATTTGCGAGCAACGGGGATGAAACAAGACGGTACAACCAAGGAATTCGGCCCCTTGGTGCTTGTTCTCTGCCCAGCGTTTTTCGAATTGAAGAACAACAACGCAGAGATGATCAAGGAATGGCAGAGAACGCTCGGCTTTGGTTCAGGCAACTCTAAAGGTCGCATCTTAGTTCACGAAGTCCAGCACATGGCTAAAGGAACGAGCCCCAGCGAGCCTGCCGAGGACTTGTCAGAGCCATTCCCTGACGTATTCGGCCATGACACCTGCTATTCCCCAAGTTGGTACGTCCATGGGTGTCTATTCACCCAGGTTCCATTCATGATTTGTCGGCGTGTAGCTAACTGTCCGGCAGCTGCGCTCGTTTATCTGACGCCGATAAGATGAGAAACGCTCAGAATTTTGCTTTATTCACCATAGACGTTTTAGCGTTCCCAAATGCTGGCGCACCAGCGTCTTCCGACAGCTGCAGTAATCCCAATCACAAACGACAAGCCCCGATCCGTTCACAAGCTCCAACCTGGAGACCTGTGTTGAACTCAACGTTTACCCCTTTGAGATCCACCTCTACAAGAAGGCCCTCTTCTACGAAGATACCGTCCTTCTCCTCGCTTTATTCCTCGTCTAGCAACTATAAGCCGAGCAGCTACAAACCCAGCAGCTCTTCATTGGAAGCGCCCTTTAGTTCCACAGTTACGAAGCCAACGACCTCACCAACAGCAGCTCCAGTCGACGTATCGAACGGTGCTGTGCTTGCTGTCGCCATTGGGATGGTGGTTGTGGGCGGTGCAGGAGGTGGTTTTATTACAATGGGCGGACAAACGGTCGCCATCGCTGCAGGCCAAACGATTGTCGTCTCTCAGCAGACTTTTGAGGAACCGGAAGCTGAGAAACCAAAGTCGGATCAACCTGAGAGGACACAGATGTCCATTCAGACAACACCTTCAGCAAGACCTTCATCCACCTCCCGTTCGGCTTGGTCTACTACGACTTCCAACTGCCCCGCCGAGACTTCGAGGGCTTACAATAGCGACGACTTCAACTGCAGAGACCTTCACGACGCCAACTCTACTCTTCTTACCGACTTGCTGAGTGGTCTTGAGTTCGGTAATGGGCCTGTATACAATGAATCGTCCATCGCAGTGATCATCCCAGAGCCTACATCATTTCCTACAACACTCATGCCTTCCACTACGACGGCTGCGCCCGCTCCGCCAACAGCTACTTCCGAACCCGCAAGCGTCGAGCCTGTGGCCTGTTATAATTTTGATATCAATGCTTACGGCTACTGTTGTCCCGGACCTGGGAACCCCTGTGAGAAGGATCTTGGTAAGTGTTATTTCAACGGAGAGGGTGTCTCTGGTGGAGCGAGCGGAATTGTGCCCACAGGCGCAAGATGCCCTCCGTCACCTGGCGCAGAGTACTGCAGAGGTGCGTGTGAAGAGTAAGGTTGAGTGAGATGTTGGGAGTGGCACGCAGAACAAGCAGTGATGCATCCTAGTGAAACTCTGGAGAGCAGGATACATGTGTAACGATGAGAAGTCGGTTTCGCAGGACTATGAATTGATAATGGATCGAGCGATGGCTTACGCATACCACCTCCTATCATCATGACCACGGAGGTATCCCATTGACTGCGGAATGGTATTAGTATATTGAGGGGCGAAGTAGCAGGTAGTAGCAGCTAGTGGAGTTCTATTCCTCATGATTCCCTACTACTACCGCTCAGTTTTCTCCGATACGCATAGTTAATAAATCAACATGGGATCGACGTCCAAGAAATCCACAGACGTATACACTGAAGCTACTTCATACTCGATAGGATACTCAATTGAAGCCGTCCGACATGTGGGAGGTTTACAAAGACTCTCAAGGGCTGGAAGCTTCAGAAATGGAAGGGTCGTTTAGTAGCATGGAAGTAGCAGAGACATATATATATATAGAGAGAGCAGAACACTTTGCGTGACTCTTTTGCTCACAAAGTTAGCTAAGGCGCAAAAATATAATCATTTTGTCTTCCTGTTAATTCTTCCACAAGAGCACATACCACACTCTGAGACTCCCTCACTCCCAGTATGTCGCTCAACAAATAAACAAATTCAAAAAAGAGTGCCCCAAGCCTTGAACAGCATGAAGCTGCCAACTCCTATGATACTGAAACACAAAAGCCATGTCCCAAGACCCCGCTTGATTTGCTTCATTGCGAACGTCTGAATAGCCTTGCCATCATTAATATTGGGGAATGGTACATCTTCGGGTACTGGGCGATCCAGTGCCTTGCACAAGGGCTTCCACCCGTCGCGTACGTCGAAGAAGATCAGCCGCTCCGGCGGAACAACACTCTTTAGGTACGCGATATGGCGGTGATATGTTTTGACCGTTGGTGGATTTGATTCTCCGTATAGTTTGACCCAATGCGAGATCAGAATTTGAACGTAGGCTGGGAAGAGTCGCATCGTGGGAAGCAGAAAGAGTATAAAGTGCAAAGCTGATGGTGACACTTCGTCATTCAACCCTCCCATGCTCCTCTCCCAGGCCTCATCATCACGGACTGTGCAGACGACTTTGGCGTCTGGGTATAATGTCACAAGCTCCTGGACGAGATTACAACCAGGCGCGTCAGTGATAGCAACATAGCCGTCAGTGCGAACGCGTATAGTGTTCAGGATTTCCTGCTCCATGGCCGCATTCGTCGGTGGCCACTCTGAGAGCACCTTCATCCATGATTTAATCTCCGCTTCAGGGCCGAGACATAACTGAGTTCCGCCGTGAAAGACCGGTCCATCAAGTAGTATCTCTAAGGCACGGCTGATCGAGCTGGTTCCAGTACGCGATAGCCCTGCACAGATGACCTGCATCTTTGCGCCCTTCCGGGGGCGTGAGTATTGTTGCCCCATCAAGAGACTAATAAAACTGCTCCAAGAGTCAAGTGAAAGATGTGTTTTTAAAAACCAATACTGTAGCAGGGAAGACTTCATCTCCAAGCATAAGCATGCTGAAGACATGCCAGTCCTTTTGCAAAAATCAAATGTGCGAGAAGGACGACGTCAGGGCATCCGGTGGAGCAAAAGTAATAGCGAAGCCAAGCACCCTAATCCTGCAGTCATCATTCCTTCGCT